TAATGTATCAAGTTTTATAATACGATTATGTTAAAGTCTGGTAGCATGTATTTTTCTATGTATCAATTTGTTTTTATTATGTATCATTACTTGTTGTGTAGTGTGATTTGGTGTTTTTATATAGTATAATTTTCTTTTTCATTTTGCAGTCAATCAAATATGTTATAAAAAAAGTACCAACACATGCCATAAGGTTTGGCGTCCCTTTTAACACAAATTTTTTGGAGGAGTTCCAGAAGTCTATAGGGGATGATGTAATTGAACTGTTTAGAGCTACAATTTTTGGACCCTATTTAGACATTCCTAAATGTAATTTTCAGGGTCAAATCAGTAAATGCTTGTTGTTGTTAGATTTGGAACAAGGCAACTCAATGGTGTTGCATATTAGGCATGCAAATGGGGTTATCTTGAAATTTGGTATCAAAGAATTTGCAATAATAACTGGTCTTAAATGTAAAGGCAATATCAAAGAATTTGAATACCCAGAATCAACTACTTGTAGACTATTCCAAAAATATTTTCCTGGTGCAGTTAAAAGTGTAAGCAAGAATCATCTAGTCCAACGATTTCTGATGGGCAACTGGGAGAATAATCAGGATGCACTCCAGATGGCTATCATCTACTTTCTCCATACATTCATTTTGGCTCAAACTGGTGATTCTTCAATATCTGTTAACGAATTTTTAATGGTTGAAGATGGTAGATATCAAGTATATCCTTGGGGACAGATTGCATTCACAAAGCTCATGGATTCACTCCGACAAGATTTCAATCTTAGCAAACAGTTGTATCGGTTATATGGAATGCCTTATGCACTTAACGTATGGACATATGAATTTGCATCCCAATTAAATCCTGAAATTGCTGTCAAAGAACGGAATGTCATCCCTAGAATTTGCAATTGGAGGGTTGTGGCTTTAAAGCCAAAGTTTGAAATGCTTATGACTAGCATTTTTCAAGAGGTAACATTGAATCCCATTTTATGTTACATTTCATACATAATTAAGTATATAGTTGTAAGGTTGCAAGTTTGTCTTTTTAAAATCATTTTTTTTTGTGTTAGGATACATAATTTTATCTCTTAATATTAAAAAAATTTGTTTTTCCAGAATGCATGTTCAAACATTGTGCCAACACCGGAGGAACTTGCAGCTTTTGATTTAACTGAAGATGAACATGATCCTCCTTCTTCACCTACCACAACATCTGTCAATCCCAAGATAGTTCAACCGAATGACATTGTTGATTTGGATGATTTCTCCACAAGACCTCCCGAACAGTTGTTAAGGAGATCATCTAGAGTGTCTGATACATCATCTCCACCACCATCAAAAAGAAGAAAGAAAGTGGATACACCTGAAACAAAGGTGTCAGAACCCAGTCAGCTAGATCAATCCAATGTGTCATTAAATCAGCCATTTTCTATTCCAGATGGTCCTCCGACACCGGCTGCTAATGTACACGGTTCTGCAGATGCTCAAAAAGTCAACTATGTAATTCCAAATATTGAAGAATTGAAAGATCATTTGAAGAATTACGTAAGTAATTATTTTGATTTTATTATTTTTCTTTATATTGATTCTAATTGTAATTGTTTTTTTTATAATTTTTTGATAGGTTGACAAGAAATTTGAGGAACTTGTAATCTTGATAAAGGAAAACCACTCGCAGTTGATGTATCTTGACACAAGGAAAACAATAAAGTTGATCCTCAATCAAGCAATAAACAACCATCTTCACATATACGGACTGATTTTGCTGATGCATTTGGTGTAGCTGATTTTGAGGTTGGTGTATCTGTTAATGAGGGTGGACATCAAGTTCATGTCAATGCAGAGGTACGTATCCGATACATTGTTTGTAATTGTCATTATATCTCATACATTAAGTATGTATTAAGAATCATAAACATATGTATCAGCACATATAGATCATATATATAGTTAAGGTGATTCACCGAATCTTCTATCTCATTAATCAGTTATATATTTCAACTTTATATTCATCACTTATGTTAAATAATGTTTCAGTAACAATTATGTTAACTACCTTTTTTATTTATTTAAAAATTCAAATATAGATTGATCATAATATCAGTAACCAACAACAAATGAAGCGTGTTTCAGAGCTCCAACCTACATATGAAAGTACTCATGTTGATACTGAAGCAAATGATACTAAGAAGGTATCGGTATGATCAAAATTTTAAACATTAAAATTTTCTTTGATACATTATCCTCTTTTATATATATATATATATATCATACATAATTAATATAATGGATAACTGATACATACAACATGCTTATATTCAGGATGATGAAGCATATCAAGCCCCACAAGCTTTAAATGAAGTAAACATGGATGAAGATTGTGTTGACACAGTTCAACACAACATCCGTCATTTTATGTCCTTTTAGAATAACAGTTGATACATCGGTATATTTATCAATTTATGCATCACGACACTAATATTCATTATATGCAATGATACTAAAAAAATATAATATCTTATTATACAGGATTCTTCCACGTCAACAACAATATCGCCCTGAACTGAAGCCAGCAATAGATGCACTTGTATCCGATCTAGGAAAAGTTCTTATTCCTGCTAAACCATTGTGTGTTTACAATCCACAGGATTAACTGGCAGTCATGATTTGTTGTCTGATAGTCAATTACCCACTGATATTTCAACCACCGAGATTGTTGTTAGAAGTCATTCAAAGACTCCTGCGCCTAGAAACAGGATGCCTTCAAGAACTATTCAATCTCCATACGTGACTTCTTTTGGGTCAAGTGATAAGGGAAAACAGAAATTGGATGACGATGTTCGTCTGTATTTTCCATTTGAAGGATGTGGGATTACATATCAACCTTCATCTAAACTAATTGATGAGTATATGCAGTGGTTAACCAAGGGGCTTCTCAAAAATCATGCCAATAAGTAAGTTTTATACATATACTTTGTAAATGTTTGGATTAACTTATTTTGATGTAACCAATTGATAAGACAAATATTATCACAGGAAACCATCGGAGGATAAATACAGATCAAAAGCCTCTTCTTTTGAATTTGAGATGATGGATTTTGTTGTTTGGCATTTCCAATGAACAAGAACTGGTTCTATGCCATGTCACAGCCAAACAAATGTTGGACTGATCAGGTAAAGTTCTTAATGAAACAATTTAAGCATGTATCAGATACTTTGATATAGAACAACATACTACAAAAAATCATCCTGGATACAATCAAATAAACTATCAAATTAGTATTTGTTTAGATTATCATTTAATGTATCAATTCTATCATATACCTTTTTTTACAAGTTTCTAATTTCGTTTATCATATTTTTTATAGCACATCGATGTTGTTTTTTACTACCTCCGTAAAAAATCAAAACTCCGCAGCATGAATCAGTACAGATACACAACAGCCAACTGCTTGTTCATCTCACACATCAAAAATACCTATGAAAGGTATTACCTGTCTAATGATAATGATCTTATTAGTACCTAAGAACACATTGATCGCGCTTCAGCTGTATCTGTATATGAGAAGTCAATCACTAACATCATCAAAGGTTTTGAAATCCTAGCTGCTTTACCATGACATCTTGTAGACGATGTTTACATCCCGGTTAATTGCGGTGGACAATTTCGTTAGGTGCTTGCTGTTATTAATTGCGGTGGACAATTTCATTGGGTGCTTGCTGTTGTTGAACTGAAAAACAGAGTGATAAGGGTGTATGACTCTTCATTAGGTTCAAGGAAAAAAGCAATTCCGCACGAGATAAAAATGTTGTCTAAAATGCTTCCTTCTTACCTCATGGACAGTGGATTCTTTGAAAAAATTGAGCGAACAAGCTTTGTTGATTGTGACGCGTACAAGGACAATAATTATGGTTCACTTTTGGAGGCACAAGTTCCTTTCATGGTTGAATTTGCCCAAGACATTATGCAACAAAAGAGTGACAGCCTGTAAGTATTGTGCTTTTATTGTTTTTGAATCATGTATGATTTAAGTTTATAACTGATATTCTGCATTTTTGTAGAGACTGTGGGTTATATGTTGCTACATTTGCGGAGTATCTGAGCGACCAAATCGAAACATCATATGTTGATTTTCTTCCTGAATATCTACGCAAAAGATATGGAGCATTGTTGTGGAGTTATGGCAGCGAGAAGGCTAAGGGTGCATACGTTAGTGAGAATGATGATCCACCAAAACCTAAGAGTGTAGTCACACAACCACCAGAAGAAGATTTGGTTCACGTAGTGTAGTAATTAAGTATCCATGCATAGACAATGTTTTATTTTTTTTTAGGATCCTTTTGACAATTTCACTCATGTTTTAGTCTGTTTTGATACAGTATGGACCAACATACTTTGCTTATAAAAAGTTAAATTTCAGACATATTATTGCATTACATAAAGAAAAAGTGCAGTATATAACATATATAGTAGTTGATACATGTTTTCATTGTTATTATGTATCTTCTAAGTAATAACATATTGCTAACAAATGGATTTTTGAAACTTTAACGTATATGATTCATTATTTATAATTACGTGCAACATAATATATATAGTATATGATACACGTTTAATAGCTTATTGCTAACATATAGGTTGTGTATGTTTTAATGTAAATGATACAGTAACCAATTAATATATATGATACAACAAACGTTATATAATTTGATGTAGGAATTTACATTACTGAAATTATTTTATTATTTAATGCATATGATACATTAGCTTATACGTTAACCAACATTTTATTTATAATTGCACCTTAAAATTTATTTATCAGAATTAACATTGATACACAAATCATAACAAACTATTTTTTTGAACAACAATACTTATTAATAACAAAAATGAACAATACAGTTTAATTATTTTTGAACAGCAATACTGATTAATAACATTGATAACTGTTTACGTGAAAAATTGTTCAACAAAAACATTAATGTCATATAAATATTATGATGATTTCACTTTTCTTTTGGAAAGAAAGTACAAGTTCTTCTGTTGTGACCTTCTTGTCCACATTGTCCACAACAATTTGTGTTCACTGTAATCTTTTCATCTGCATTCTTTTTTCTTCTTTTCCTTGGTCTTCCAGCTAATCGTTTGTATCTAGGTGGATACACAGTTTCAGCTACAACATCCTCAGGAGCTGACCAATCTTTCTTATCTGGCATTGCAACCATTGGAATCTCATATGTTTTTGCTAATGCATCAGGCTTGTAGTAATCAGAGCAATATGGATGCATATCTTTAACATTCTTTTCCTTTAAAACACCGATTGCATGTGCGCAAGGTATCTCATCTAGTTGAAATCTTCCACAAGAACATACTTTCCGCTCAAGACAAACAATGTATCTTCTTCCAGCTTCATAAACCGAGAAAATAAATTCAGATGATGGAACAACCTGCGTACATTTAAAGAAATCATGTTCAAACAGCAGAATGATACACCGAATTACATACATAGAATATAAAATAATGTATCATGACACATACCTCCATCTTCGAACTTTTAGACGCGTTTATAATCAATACCTCCTTAAATCTTCTCCCCAATGTGTCCTTTGTATATGAGGCTATTTCTCTGTTTTTGCAATGCTAAAAACCAAATAGAATTCTAACTTCTTCCAAGAATTCTAATATAGACAATTGTCGTGCTTCAACAAGACAACTATTGATACATTCCGCAATGTTTGAAGTCATCATTCTACCTCTATTTACTGTTGAATGAACTCTCGACCACTTCTCATACCCTGCATCCTCAAGGTACTCATTAACCCTGTGATCAATTTTATCAACCTTAGCCATCAATTTATCAAAATCCTCATTTATGTATGCCTTGGCCATAGAGTAAAATAGATCACTTAGGGTGTTTCTTCTCTTTTTGAAGTTTCCACAGACATTCTTCCAAAGATGCCATATGCATACATAATGAGGTATATTTGGGAACACAGTCCTTACACTCTTCATAATACTCTCATTCCTATCTGATACAACACACATTTCTTCACGCTCGCCAAATGCATTTTTGAATTGTTCGAAGAACCATGTCCATGAACAGTCATTTTCAGTGTCCACAACACCATATGCCAATGGAAATATGCAACATAATTACAGAGCAACACATATTATTTCATTTGATACATAACATTTACAAACACCTCATAACTACAAAAAATACATACCTGCCCCATCAAGTGTGCTTGCGGATACAAATGTCCCTTTGTAAGCTCCGCCCAGATGTGCACCATCGACAACAACTATTGGTCTGCAGTAATCAAACCCCCTAATCAATGGTCTTAAGGCTACGAACAGATATATAAATTCATCTTTCTCAGTCTTCTGCATCTTTATATAAGAATTTGAATCTAACTTTGAAAACATCAGATTTTTTTCTGCAGGAAGCCTTCATAGTCCAGCCACATTCATCCGAAAAGCATACCAACACATAACTGTACAGTTTTTTTCATTATATTAATACATATAGCAGTTACATGTTATAATATATAAAACACTAAAGTTCAAAGTAACCAAAGAATGATATATTTTTTGTATCAGATTCAGAAAATAATTATTTATACATGTATCATAATTTTATTGAATGTATCAGCTTACTGTTTCAACAGTATTATCTTAACGTATCAACAGTATTAACTCAATGTATCAATAATATTAACGACCAACACAATTATTTTTTATCAGATTCAAAAAATAAATAAATAATGAATCATGTATCACAAAATGACGGAATGTATCGGCTACATGATTTTTGCGATTAAATTATTTAATTTTTAAACAGTCTAATCTGAACGTATCAACAATATTAACTTAATGTATCAACAAATACTATATCATTATCAATCTACCACAAATCATATTCAACGAACTAAACAAAAATTCAAAATCAATGACTTTCTATTTAATAATGTATCATACATTAAAACAAAATAATGGTATCACCATTTATAGATCTAAAGAATCCAAACACAGTTCTTCACAAAACAAATCAAACAGTCTCATACCTTTGTCTATCAGATCTCTTTACTTTGCAATTGAAATTGTTCTTTATCTTATATTTCGCCATCACATCTACGAGTGTTGCTTTATCCTTATATAACTGACTTGTCTTCACCTCTATACTATTTGAATCAATTATGTAATTTGTAACTTTCAATTCTGGAATATAATACGAATCACAAATTCTTGATTCAACCACCGCAAGAGCTTCTGTATCCTGTGTTGTGCCTTCTACACACATAATTTATCCCCATGTTCCATCAAAGTTATGTACATCACCGCCAATCTTTTCATTTGTGTCAATGCATAATGGATACATTGCAAATCCTGGCTCACTTTTTTTCACTTCTAAATAAAGTTTAACACCCATGTTGTTCTTAAGTTTCATCGGAGACGAGTTACCTTCTACGATGTAACTAATTTCAATGTTTTTCCTTGATACATCGATATCCAACTCGGTTGAAATTGCTGCTTTGAGATTCAAAAATGAAATTGATTGTCTAACAACGATTCCGTCACTTTTGTAACTTTCATATTTCACTTCGCTGACCCAAATTCCTGAATGCCTCAGTAAAATTGATATATTCATCTTGTATCAGCAAAAAATCAGAGTTTTATTCGTATTTCTAGCTTTTTCTAAATCGATGGATGTTCACAAATTGTTCTTCAATGTAGAAGATATAATTTTGAAATTTGAAATTTTGTAAATACCTATTAAGATAAGGAATGTTTAGGATCAGTTAGGCGTAATTTAAACTAATTAAATTAACAGACTTAATTATTACATTTTTTTTCTTTTTTAGCGCGACATTCAGTTAATTTGCGTGTATCAGTGACAATGTATCAGCACTGTTGCTATGTATCAGTCGCCTACCTTTTTAAGGGATTTTTTGTAAAATGTAAATTAGTTGGGATAGGATGTAATTTATATCCTACACTATGGGATTCCTTTAATTTTTACATAAATTTAACTTTACTTACCGAAGACCCGAATGACATTGAAGCAAAATATGAGTAGTTTTAACAAAGGCTAATTTAAGTGTTGTTGAGATATATGGTTCTTCATTTTATATATATATATATATATAACTTTCTAATTAAAACTACAACTTTCAATTTTTATGTGTAAATATAGATGGTTTATACAATTTTGTCATTGTTGACCGTCTTTTCTATTTTAAAAGTAGATAATTTGTTTCTTTAAAATTGAAAATTGACATTTTGTGAGTGATCAATTTATTAAGATAACAATTATTTATCCTCAAATAATTCAAGTGAAAAAAATACAAACATGACAACAAAATTGTTCTTCTTATGGCTAGTTATAAAACCATTAAAAAATAATATTGTCCGACAATTATTTACCTTGACTCAATTACATAATAATTCAAGGATATAATTGGAAAGAATCTTTTATAGAGTTTTAATCCAAACACAAAATGAGGTGGAAAACAATGAATCAAACACTTGATAAAAATAAACTCTGCATTACTAATCCCTGCACTACTAATCTCTGTATTACTAATCCATGCATTACTAATCCCTGCGTTATCAATTTTTGTACCAAACGACCCCTAAGGACCATATGGATCATGTGGAATATATTAAGGATCAACATAAAGCAGCCCTCATACATAAAGGATCATTTTCTCGGTGTTTTTTCATACTCTAAAAATGGATACTTTTTTTTTCAAGAAAATTGGGTGAAATCTAGTTTACGAGTTAATTATTTAGGTACACTTTAATTTATTATATTACAAATTTTATCAGATTTTGTTGCGTTCGCAATATGTTCACATGCATGTACCACGAGATACATGAGGTTAAAATTATGTGTAATTTATTCAAGATACAATGTATCTAAATGGATTCACATTATCTGATGTATATAACAAATCTTGTTGTCTCTCTCTCATCTCATTTGCCACTCTTAAATGTATTTGGTAGACCAGATACATGTGAATTACACACCAGATACTAGGGTTGTTCATGGTTATGGTTAAAAAACCAAACCGAACCGCAATCCGAACCAAACCGATAAAAAAAACCGATATTTGGTTGGATTTGGTTAGGTTTGGTTTTACATTTTGAAAAACCGATACTATTTGGTTTGGTTTTGATTTTACTAAAAAATATCCGCAAAAATAACCAAACCGAACCGATAAATTATATATATAAATTTTATAATTATTTATATATCATTCATAAATAAAATATAAATATTTTATTAAATTTTAATTAACTTAAGTTTTTAACTATATCATTTTTTCAAGCCCAACACTTAAATTTCAGCCCAACTATTAAAACCCTAATTCTAACTCCACCAAAATTTATTATTTAAGTGATTTTTACCTACCCTACATCACAAATTCACAGTGCAGTTTTTTGCAAAAAGTATACGCTGCTTTCTTCTTTGCAGCGCACATAGCTTTCTTCTTTGTTTTTTTCTTTTAAAAAAAAATTCACAGCAGCCTTCTGCTCCTTCTCTTCATCTTCTTTAGTCCTATTGGTATATTCTTCTCCAACTTCTTAAGTTCTCAACTTTAAATACAAGAAAAAAGTGAAGATTGAAGGTAATTTTCTATATTATATTTTTTCTTGATTTTAACTAATTTTAATCTAGAGAGCAAGACTTCAAAATTGAGATTTTTTTATATTTCTTTTTTCTATATGAATTTCAGATGAAACGACTAGTAGAGGTTGAAGATTTGGAAGATTTGGAAGTTCAACCTCAAGTAAAAAATTCTACAACAGAAAAAACTCAAGCAAAAGGTAATTTTTCAATCCTCCGAAGAAACAGAAAAGAACAACTCTGGACAATGAGGGAAGTGGTAGAAAAATCTCTGAAGTTTGGGATCATTTTTCAGAGATTACCAGTAAAGTGGGTGAAGTGAAGGCAAAATGTAAGTACTGTTTCAAAGACTTTAAAAGGACTAGTAAGAATGAGACTTCTAATCTTTGGGGACATTTACTAACTAAGTGTACAAAATACCCTTTCAAGTCTTTTGATAAAAAGCAAAAAACTCTTAAACCTATTAAAAGAGGGGGAACAGTAGATTTGGAGAAGGTTGTTTATAATGTCACCGAAGTCAGGAGGGCCATTGCCGAGTTTGTTATAATCGATGAACAACCATTTAGAGTCGTTGAGGGTGAAGGCTTTAAGAGACTAATATCGCTTATTTTGCCAAATTATGAGTTGCCGTCTCGTATTACTGTTGCTAGACAATGCTTAAAAATTTATCAAGAAGAAAAACAAAAGCTTAAAAGACTTGTTAAAGGTCAGCGTGTTTGTATTACTAGTGACACATGGACTTCACTCCAAAATTTTACGTATATGGTCATTACTGCCCATTGGATTGATGATGAGTGGAAGTTGCAAAAAAAGATACTGATTTTTTTTCAAACTCCAGATCACAAAGGTGAGACTATTGCAAAAGCTATTGAATCTTGTTTGTTAGATTGGGGAATAGAAAATCTACTTACAGTAACACTTGATAATGCAACAGCTAATGATGCAACAATCACACACTTAAAAGGGAGAATTAGTGATTGGAAAGGTGTTATCATGGAAAATATTTTTTTACATGTTAGGTGCAATGCCCATATTCTAAACTTGATTGTGAAAGAAGGATTGAGTGAACAAAATAAGTCTATTTCTCGGGTAAGAAATGCTGTGAAATATGTTAAGTCTTCTTGTGCAAGAACTACTTCTTTCAAGTCATATGTTGAAAAGGTTAAACTAGATACTCGTGGACTTTTGAGTTTGGATGTTGAGACGAGGTGGAACTCTACATATTTGATGTTAAATACTGCTGTCAAATTTGAAAAGGCATTTTCAAGAATGTATATTGATGATCATAAGTACTTTAAATATTGTCTTGACTCAGGTGGAAAGATAGAGCATC